TGTATTTGTTTATGTTTATGAAGATGTGTTGTATATGTCTATGTATATGTATGTTTTGTAATAATATATATATATATATGTGACCATATATATATACATATATATATATATATATGTGTGTGCATATATGTATGCATATTTCTATGCATATGCATATGTATATGTCTGTGTTGATGTCTTTGTTTCATGTACATGTACATGTGTTTGTATATGCAAAGGTACATGTGTTCGTTTATGTCTATGTATATGTACCCATCTAGAATACACGTTGCAAAAGATATTTCGTGTAATACAACATGCATATATATATATGTATGTATTATAGCAGTTTATAGATTCTAGATGAGAGAGACAATACGGTTGATGCAGCCCAGGACTCCCTTTCCTCCAAGACCGGCGAGGACAAGAAGCGCCCCGTACTGGCCAGGAGTGGAACCGTGGCTGCCCAGGTGATGGTGAAACATCACCAGGACATCCCAGAAGTGCATGCAGAAGAGATCCTCGAGGCTTTGGAAAAGAATGTGGCATGGCAGCAAGAACTTCTCGGCAAGGAGGGTTGCCTGTCCAGACTTTTCGGCACTCATCTGTGAGGCAAGTGAGGAGGTGGTCGAACCAGAAAGCATCAGAAGCATGATTCAGTTCAGGCTGGCTGAAGGGATTCAGGGCTTAGTGCATTGCAGTTCCTGCTCAAGAAAGTTCAGGCTGGTGTTGATGCTCGCATGTGCTGCAGGAAGCTTTGCTTAGAAACTTCTACACAACATATTGTTGACCGTGCGCCACGTCACTTTCATGGCTTTGCTTCGTTTGCAGCGCTGGCGCAGGCAGAGCCCTACCGTTTTGGACCGGGAGCCTGTGCTCGAAACAGTGGCGTTCAATGAATTGGCAGCTTTTTCCTCGTCCTCACTTGGGGGTTCATGGGACTTAGTAAGTACTTTTATAAGTACCTTAACTGGGGTTATATCCGATTGCGAGTATAGTTACCTTATTTTTAACCATAGTTACTAAGTACCATGAGCCTCTAAGTAGGGTTTATGGACGCTCGCACTGCCGGCCGGGCGGGCTTGTGCGACAAATGCAAACGGATGAAGTGTGTGCTTTCGGCGTCATGCGTGCGCCCACTGAGGATTCAGAGTATGTTCGGAGGATGAGCCGAATGACCCGCCTTGAGAAGGTGCAGCGCACTTTGCAATCGCCGCAGCGGCTCTTCTGCGTTGAGTCTGCCTGGTTTGGTAAAGCCTGGCCGACAAAACCCTGCTGCGGGAAGGCTGTGGCTGACACAAGTACTTGTAATACAGAAGCGGCTCATAGCCTATGACCTCAACAGGTACGAGGACGATTACCGCTGTAACAGCTATGACGCCTCGAGTTGGTTGTGATTTCAAGTCCGGGTGGCTATGTTAAAGAATATGTTGCAACTGCTTGACCGCACTTGAGGTATGAGATGTTCATGGCTCTGGTATTATGCCTAAATGCATCTTGGATGCTCGACAAGGCTTTGAATTTTGCGAGACTCAATCTTGACATGTAGCTATGTACAGAACCGGCAGGGCGCAATCAACCAGCCCGCGCTCGGAACGACAGCTAAGGTTGTTTGGATGGCGATCGAGTTGCAGCTAGAAGGTACAGTCACGGGACAGGAACTCAATTTTTGGCAAGGACCGGGCTCGTCGCCACATGAAAGGTGTGCATCTTGTGGATTCTTGTGGGGCAGGCATTTGAGGGCGGCAAGTGCATCATATCGAGACCCGAGGAGGATCCACGTCCCCTCTGAGTCAGAGCCGTCCCGTTTGGGATTCTGTTCTTCTCATCGGGGAGATCTGCTTCACGTCCTTCTTCGCACTGGACGTCGTTTGCCGAATTTGCATCCTGGGCAGCTTATTCTGGAAAGTTTGTCTGAACTACATTGACGTGGCGGTCAGCATCACGTCGATCGTCGAGCTGTCCGTGACCGTGGCGATGCTGCAGACAGTTGGTGAGCATGGGGTGAAGCATTGTGAAGCTACTTTGCAATCCCCCACTGCTTTATGAGCAATGCAGGTTCCTTATCGAAGCCACCCGCGCCTCCGCTTTGCAACCCCTTTGCAACCGTAGGGATGCATATTGTGGCGAACCATGTGAAGCATACAGGGCTAAATTCCACAGTTCTGTTTTGGTATGAGCCTTCAGCCTAGTACGCCGCAGGACCGCGCCAAAGGCACGAGTTTGGAGGGATGTTTGCTAAATTCGCAAGTCGTGCTCCCTGGGGCTTTCGTTTGCCTGGTCTGTGGTTTCTCCAAAGTAGGATGGGTGCCAGTATGCACGGGCCAGACCTTGAAGCGTTGAATCCGAAAACTAGCTTCCGATAGCCATACAGTAACCCAAAAATCGCCAGGGACTTTGTCGGCTGGGCGGGTGGTCCGACAGCTTTAATACAGGGGCCTTAATAATTACCTAGACTATTTTGGGGCCCCTTTGTGTACTTGTAGTATAATATGCCCCAAAACCCGATTCCAATTATTAAAGCCCGCATATTAAACGATCCGCCAGATAGTCCCTGCCGAGCCTAGGTCTCTTCACAGCTGCCGGTGAGCCCTGTATTGTTCCGGCTTTTGCGCTTGGGGAAGCTTGCACGCGCCATCCGCGTCGTGTCAATGCCACTTGGCGTCAGCTCTCGTGGGTACTAGTTTTGTATTAGCATCAACATTATGATTGTTGTATTATAGCTGTAGTTGTTCATCCTGGTTAGTCTTGTCCATACAATCCTTCATCATAGTGACTATTGTTTGCGTGCATCTCGCTGCCGTCCCATGATGCGCAGACGGTTTTGCGTGCTGCACGCGTATGCTAGGCTAACTTTCCTTTTCCAAACTCCGATTTGCCAATTTACAGCGACCCTCGAGCCCACAATGCTTTGGAAACTGCGTTTTAGCAGTGGCCCGGTGGTCTCTCGGGGTCTGCTGGTGGTCGCAGTGGTCATGGTGGTCCTCGTTGTGCTAGTGGCCCTAGTCATCATCGTCGTGGGGCTCCTTCATTGTTTGGGGATCTACGCCACCAGTAGCATCACTAATTGCATTCCGACTGTGGTGTGCAGCCCAGCCTGGCGCAGTAGAAGGTGCGCAGCGAACCCTGGAGCAGGAGATTTTGTCGTAAGAGCTTTAATCCAAAGCCCCCTTGGGTCCTTCCAGTGCGTGCTGTCCAACGCCAGTCAGGTCAAGTGTTCTTGCATCGCTGCAGCTGCTGGTCAAGTGCCTTGCATCCAGCTACTTGGCTGAGTGGCGGATTTCAGCTCGGGTGCCCACGTCCGAGGAAAGAGTGGTATACTCAAACACTCCAGACAGAGCGAGTCTGAAACTTTGAGACCCAACGTTCACTATGGCCTTAGTCGCCAGCTGTTGACTTTCGGGTTTCGGACATATCGCAGCCTGACACCTCTGTTCTTGACTGTCAGGCCGCGATATGCTGTTCTGGAGTTTTTGCCTGCTGACCTTCGTGCAGTGTGTGGCCGGGATGATTTTGAGTACCCTCTGCGCCGATTTCATCAATGACACAGGCAGGTTTTCTTTCGCATTGTCACATTTCCGCAGCTGCTTGGCCTAGCAGCTGGCATGTCAAGAGTGCTGAATCGCCAGGCAACAACCTGGAAATTCGCAAAGAGGTGACCCGCTCGCAGTACTTCACGCTTCCTTCCTCTTGGGGGTGCCGACTTCCTGGTCTTCTTGCTAGCTTTCCTAGGACAGGCACTTGTACAATAGATTAGAAGGGGCCCCCACCCTGTAATAGTGGTATAATAGGAATATAATAGGGCCCCAATATAATCTTTATAGTCACTATTACAGGGTGGGGCCCCTTCTAAGCAATAGAGTACTACGGCAAAACTTACAACATGACTTCGTGTATGTTTACAGTACCATACAATACAATCCAAGATCATAAGATACGGTGCAATACTGAAGTCGGAGTTTCCCTTATTTTGGGGGTCCTTGTAACAAGGATCCTACTATTTAGGGTGCTTTATTAGGGTTCCCTTTTCGGAATCTCTCCAAACAATTGCCCTGAGTCAGACACGGCCGTCCAAGAAGCTGCCCCGAGGTTTTCCTTCACTACGGAACTTTTACAAGAACAATACTTTCCATGTTTGAGATCTTGTTCCTTGGTCGAAATGAGGGCAGTTTGCAGGGTTTGTGGTGGTATAATAGACTTAGTCTGCTGGCTTATGAACTCAGCTACTAAGGTTCGCAAATTGGAGTCCACCATGCAGAGTACTGGTGGAGAACATTAGCGAATGGTTCTCTGTGTTTTTTCTGCTCTACCGATGTGTCCTGGGATTCGCTGTGCGGCTCGGTTCTGCAGCAGCATGCGTTGTGCTTTTCTTAGTTTTTTCCCTCCTGTTTCCGACCTCCGACCTTGACAGCACATCAAGCACATGCAGCCAAGGATCAACGTGGTGAACTCTGTCTTCGTCCAGCAAACTATGAAGACTGCCAGCTCTGACGAAGAGCTGGCATTCAAGCAGAAGCAAAGAGATATGGACATGTACACGAAAAAGGTACGGAAACTGTTTCAGACGATGGATGCATCAGGTGACGGAGCGATAAATTTGCAAGAGTTTGCCAAGCTTGTGAAATCACCGAAGCTGCGCTTCTGGATGAGCCAGCTGGAGCTGGAGTATCACGACCTTTTGAGCCTCTTTGAGTTCCTGGTTGGCGCTTTGACAATTTGTCTTGTGTCTTTTTCCCCCCATAGAGATCAGCTTTTTTAAGCATACTGCGGGCCCTTGAATTGCAACCGAGGTTCCTGGACAACGGTGATGGACAGATCACGTTGACCCTACGGCTTCGGATTTTGACCTTCAGAAGTTTGTTCTTACGGGGAGTGAGCATTGAGGAATTCTAGCACAGTTCTCCTTCAGGACACCATTGAGTGACCAGGCGAGTCTTGTGTGTGTTTGGTTGCTTTGTGTCGGCGCTGAAACAGTACTCGTTCTCTTGTGTTTGTTTGTGGTCGCTTGTGAAGAATGCTCGTGTCAGCTCGCGTTAGGATGGCAGAACGCGAGCCAGGCGCTAGGCTTTGAACTTCTGTTTGTAAGTTCATTCAGTGAAGGTTTTGGTCTTCGGAAGGCGCTTTTGGTTGTCCCTTACTAACCCTTAACCCTAAACCCTAAAGCCGTCCCGAACCCAGGACCGAGTTTATTGAAGGCGCAGCCCGCTTGAAGGGCAGCGCAAAGGCTTTGGATGTCTGGCGCATGGAATGTAAGATCGAGCTGCTGTTGCTGGGTCTGAGACAGTTTAGCACTTTATGGATGATAGTGTTAACACTACTGATACGGCTTGCGGTTCTTGAGACTACCACTGCTTCTTCTCTTTATGAGTATGGCGCCGAAGTCATCTTCGTAGTTTGAACTCCCATGGCTCTCTATATAAGAGCTGCTCCAGGTTCGAAGAGGTGCTAAACCATCTCAGAGGAAAGAATCCGGGGAATCCGATGTCCCCCGCCATAAGCGAGCTTGGTGATCTTGGCCTTGGCAGCGCAGGTGGGGAGTTGAACTCGGGGCCCAGTGGTTTCTCAAGAAGCTGAATGCATACAGTCTTGCATCCAGGTATTGCGGCCGTGGCCGATGTGCAAGACGTTTTTGCCCAATCCGGCTATCAGCACATGCCTCCTGGTGAGAAGCATCATCGAGGTGAGTTTGTGCGTCGGTAGCACACGTTGGGAGGGATCTGGACTTACGTTAAGGGCCTTTGCATAGTCAAGCGACATCAGACGGCCTTTTTCCATGGATGCAAACGGAGCTGCAACACTCCCCAATGCATAGCCTGGAGAAACCTACCTGCGAACAATGTCTCCCTCTCTCTCTCTCTCTCTCTCTCTCTGTCTCTCTCTGTCTCTCTGTCTCTGTCTCTCTCTCTCTCTCTCTCTCTCTCGCTCTCTCTCTCTCTCTGTCTCTGTCTCTCTGTCTCTCTGTCTCTGTCTCTGTCTCTGTCTCTCTCTCTCTCGCTCTCTCTCCGTCTGTCTGTCTCTCTCTCTCTCTCTCTCTCTCTCTCTCGCTCGCTCGCTCGCTCGCTCGGTGCGGAAGCACAGCTTCTTTCACAGCCGAGGAAATCAACAGGGCGAAGGGCATCTGTTTCACAGATAGACGATCCCGTCGTGGATCTTTGATTCGCTGGGGAGAGCTTGTTATCTGCATTCTTTGCCGGTTATGCTACATGATTGGCTTGCGCTGTTCTCCCCGGAGCGGAGGGACCATGCAAAGCACATGGCGTGGAGACCGTCAGAGCTGTTGCACACATCATTAGGCCACGCGCACCGATGCCTGCGAAGCAGCATCGGTTTTTTTTGCCAAGTGGTTTCAACAGAAGGTTCACTCACAATTTCCCGAGCCACCGTTACCGGCGTTTGTTGGAGGCAAAACAAGCTGCCGATACTCTTTGCGGTTCTGGAAGTCTAAACCAGAACTTGAAAGCCGAAAACCCTGAAGCCCCAAAGCCCTAAACTCTCAAACCCCAACATAGAAAACCCTCAAAAGCATAAACCCTGATCGCCGAAACCCAAAGACCAAAAAACTCCCAGTACCTCAAACCCTGATAGCCCTTACCCCCCCCCCCCCCCGCAAGCTTATACGGTAGTCCAACAAGCAGCCCATAGAGTAATCCTTAGCAATCCTTGCAGAGACCCAGAACTCCCTGGAGCTTAAGTAGGGAATGGGGGGGAATGGATACCTGTAGTAGCCCCTATATAATCCCCAATAATTGTCATAATCCATTCCCTGATATTCTTGCCGCCTGCGATTTCGTGCCCTTGCATTGCGAGACTCTTGATGATGGCACAGCAAAGATAATCCCTTCCCCCATTCCCTACTAAGAACTAGACCCAGAAGAGAAGCCTCCGACGCCCTTCGGACCCAAAACCCTAAACCCCTAAACCTCTAAACCCTAAGCCCCTAAATCCCTAAACCGCTAAACCCTAAACCCTAAACCCCTAGACCCCGAAACCCCTAAACCCCTAGACCCCGAAACCCCTAAACCCCTAAACCCTAAACCCCTAAACCCCTAAACCCTAAGACTCCTTTGCTTTGGGCACTTAGGCCGATGACACACGGCAACTCCGCAAGGCTCCCTTACGGATTGCTGGTTGTTTGGGGTTGAGGTGTTTAGGGTCTAAGGGTCCCTGGTTTAAAACAGGGGGTTAAGGGTTTCGGGTTTTTGGGTTGAGGGGTTTAGGGATTGCTCTTTCTCTCCGAATTGTGCTTTGGCGGCTGTGCAGCTCTGAGATCAATGCTTCGGTACTTTGCTGGTCCAATCAAACGGCGACAAAATTTTTTGGGGGTGCTGTTTGAGGTTTCTCGAGCAGGTGACACGCAAGCTGAACAGCGAGAAGGGGCAGACATGGAAAACAGTCACTGAACGAACGTCCCCGCTCCAATAAAACCCACACCCCAGTTTTCCGAAGCCCCGACGAGCCATGAGCTTGCTAGGAGAACGGTGACTTGTTGCGATCGCAACCGGAGAAGCTGTCCGGAACCTGGTGACCAGATGTCGGGAACAATATAGCGTACTTGGGTTTAGGGCCTAGGGTTAAGGGAAGAAAGGATGGTTAGTAACTGGGTTCTTGTCAACCATAACTGGGATCTTTAGTACATAATTTGTTTTCTTTGTTATCGTAATTTAAATAGATTCCTTAACGAGAACCCCGACAATAGCAGGCTCCGGGCTCCGGATGAAAGCGGTCTGCAAGACCGCGATGGCGCCCCCACCCCCCTGTCCCGTCGGAAGCTTATACCATCAATAATGTCAATAGCGTTACTAACACTGGCAGGTTAAATGATACTAGAAATTCAAAAATAATGTTCATCCTGATGATGGTGCAGATTTGAATCTTGATTTATGGAACCTGGCCCAGGATCTATTTGTTGACCTTCCACTGCTCGATCCCCCAACAGAAATCACTCCACCCCGCTCCCTCCCACGCATTCTCTGATTGCACACCCTAAACCCTGGACATAACTTTTCCCTATGGCTCCCGCAACGATCATCTTCCCGCTACTACTGCTCGCCAACGGAATGTTGAACTTCCATCATGAAAGGCCGGTGAAGGCCAACCCCCACAAGCAGGCCTAACATAGCAGCCATATCAATTAGGATAGGGTTTGCGGATCTGTATAAGTATAGTATTATGGGCACCAAAACACTTTCGGATTATTAAGGACCCTATATTGCAAGCATCACCAGCTGCCCTTGAGATGCGGCGAGGTGGAAGTGGCTGGCTGAACGAACAGGCCTGCGGCCTCAGTGGCCTGAGTGATACGGTTGATGATGTAAATCCTTCATTAGCTTAAGGATCCTAGACGATATGAATGATGGTATATTCCCTATTATGGGTAATGCAGGATTTATATCATCAACCGTGGTGTCGGCGAAGTAGGGGCCTGAATCATCAGTAGGATTATTCCCCTAAGATTCCCTATTATACTTGTTGCCAATGATTGCTGTATGAAGAAACCAGGACCTGTTGTCTAATTATGAACGCCCCCATGCAGCACACATGGGCCGACCTAAGCTTTCAATCAGCCCTAGCTATCAACATCTGCCCTAGATAACCCCGAACCATAAACATGAAAAAAGCTCTAAACCTTGAACCTAAACCCAAAACCCTTGCAACCCTAAACCTTTCCTCTAGCCGAAAAAGACCTACATTTTAAGGAACTAACAGACCCTAAACCCTAAACCCTAAACCCTAAACCCAAACCCTAAACCCTAAACCCAAACCCTAAACCCTAAACCCTCCTAAAAAAGGTAGGCCTTTTCGGCTACAGGTAGCCCAAAGGCCGAACGTCTGAGCGCACCTTCTTACTTTTCGTAAGTAGGGAATGGAAGAATGGTAGTAATAGTAGGTATAATGGTAGTAATATCATAGTTATATGGTAGTAGTATGATAGTCTATGGTAGTAAGTAATAGTAGTTATAATTGTACCCGATTCCTCCATTCCCCTACTAAGCAAAGGTAAGCCTTGTTTCCAGGCCTTGCCATGGTCCAGCGAAGTTCGGGCCTCCCAGAGGACTTCCCGGAGGCACCTACTAGAGGGGGCTTTAATTGCCTAGACGATTTTGTTGGGGGGTTCCTTTAATAGGGATCTTGCGAACGGACTGCGATGCCTTGTCAAGTTCTAAGGTGTCACTATAAGAGCTGTGAGCAAGACCATGTAAAGTGCAAGAGAAGGGGGCACGCTACGCGTCCCTCGACTCTAAGGGGGCACGCTACGCGTCCCTCGACTCTAGGAGTAAGCTTGTGGACGTGCTGCGCACACCGCATCGCTTCTCCTTACCTTTCTATGTGACCGCCCACGCAACGTTTGGCTCAAGTCAATGCCCATAGCTAAGTGCTATATGTGTCTTCTATCCTGAGCAATCAGAGCTATCCCGTGCACAGACGAACCGCCGCCGGCAGCGAGTGCAAAAAGAACGGCCGCCGGTTCTGCCTGCATAGGATTGCACGCGTGGAAGTGTGAGAGAGACAGGGTCCAGTCTGTGGAGAGTGCAAGCCAGCCACACCTATATTCATTACAGCTCTGGTGGGGGAGCAGCAACACAATCGAGATCAAATCCCCACGCAGGTTATCAGCCGTACGCGGCTCTGCCTTTCTACAGCAACGACTACTTGATCTACTACGACCACAATGAACTCGGGATCAAGCCAAGATACGACAATGACTTTCGGTGCCGATGTGGCAGCGCCAGCCGTTGGTGAGTCAACAGCTGATGACACAGTGGTGCAATCCGTTGATAGCTCCACGGAAGATGACAAAGGTCAATCTTCTGCGCTTGCCATTGCAAAGGCAGTTCCCAAGGTGAAAGCAAAGAGTCTACCAAGAGCATCTACGCCTTCGCGTCCGACATCCACAGGTTCGAGGACGGGCAAGGCTCCAGAACGACGAGCCGAAGCGTCTGGTTTTCAGGCACCTCGGACTACGTCCAGGGCCAAGGACAAAGGAGTGAAGACCTTGGAAAAGAAGTCGAGACCATCATCTTCGAGAAGCTCTTCAGCACGATCAAGGACTTCGGCTACTCGTGGGCGTGACAAGTCCATGACTTGGAATCGGATGGTTACCAATCAACCACGCGATGCTGACGATCTGGATATGACTCTGGACACTATTCCTGCACGTGGTGATGCGTCATCGGTGACCACGCCAGCCATAGCCGATGGTCCGAATGCCTATCAGGAACTGACGATTTCGCAACAGCTCGAAGCATCGAACCTTGCGCAGCAGATGTACTATCGCAGTCAGATGCAAGAGTACGAAGGAGTTGTCCAGACCCTGATGGATAAGATCAAGGAGATGCAACAAGAAGATGAAGGATCTGGGATTCGCATCGAAGAATTGGAACGACAACGTGACCATGCATGCTTAGCCATGAGGCACATCAACAATGTCAATCAGGAGATGAAGCGAGACTATGAAGCAGCTTTGTTTCGCATGGATGAACAGAACTCTGCTCAACAACGTCAAGCACACGCCGTTGCCGAGGAGTTGGCTCAGCAGCTACATGTGTTTCGCACGGAAGCAGCCACTAACTTTGTGCAGCTGGAGGCAAGAGCGCAAGGCGATGGTGAGCTTATGGCACGTGAGTATGAGCATCTGACTCATGAACTTCATGAACAAGCCAGAGAGAACTTGTTCCTCCGGTCGAACACAGCAAGTTCGGAACAAGCCTTACAAGCAATGCAGGAACGATTCCACTTGGTCAAGAATCAGGAGTTGCGGGCCGTGAACGAGATCCAAGGGCTAGCTGGGAACAGCGCAGCCATTGATCAAGAACGACTTCGGCTTCGCGAACGTCTTGGTGAAGAGGAAGAGTACCGCAAAATGGCTGTGAGGAGGATGCAAGATGCAGAGGACCGACTTCATCAGAATGAAGATCATGCAAGGCGCGCATTGCCTACCTTGCACGACGAGCTGAGTGAACTCAGGAAAACACTCAAGGCACAAGAAGATCTTCAAGCGAGAACACGCAGCGAATTGGAGGCAGCACGGAACTCCAACTACCATGGCGGAGTGACACGGCCTTCGAGCATGCCCATGTCTTCGAGGACTACTGAGTCTGGCTGGGAGCACGTAGGAAAGGAAGTAGTGCCTGCATTTTCCGTAGGAGGTGAGGTACGATCCCCTGAAATACGGTCCCCAAGTCAAGTTAGTCCAGTCGCCAAAGAGAAGTTCGCATTCTCGGAATCGGACAAGGACAAGAACCTTGCGATGGATGAAATTCCATTTACCGGTGGAAACTTCTTCACTGGCCGCATCAAAGGTGAGGTGAATAAATCCTATTCAACGCCAATCGTGGCGGCGGATGCAATGCCCGAGCACTACGTGCCAGGTATCAGCAGCCCAGCACTTGCGCGTTCCACGCCTAGTGCAGCCACTCTGTTTGGCATACCAAGCGGATTTCATGGGCAAAGTGATGCGGCAGCCGTGCGTGATCGACAGCTACGCGAACTCTTGGAGGATCGCGGGATGTTGGGATCGAAGTCCACAGCATCTGCCAGCTCCTCAAGACCTGTTGGTATCGACGGCATTATCGCATCTACGAAGGGCAACGACCTCATTGGTCCCCCTGTCGCCTATGACGATTCTATCCATGAGGCAAGGAGGCGTCAGATCGAGAAAGAGGTCGCGGAACGGTACGAAGAGAAGATTGCCGATCTGCGAAGCGAAGTACTCAAGGCCCAGAAAGCCGAACAGCGTCTCAGAGCTGATCGTGATGAGTGGAGATTATTTGCTGAAACGATTCAGGAAGACAATGGAGACGATGACGGTGATGAAGCTGGCGACGAGAACGGAGAGGGAGAGCATGATGAAGGAACCGGCACGGGGTATGATCCTCCAGATCCGCCTGATGATGACGATGATGATAAGAAGAGAAGCGGTGGAGGCAAACCTGACCCGGATCCTGACCCTCATGCGCGTGATCCTGATGGAGACGCAGATCCTGAAGTCACAGAGGTGAGAATTTCCAGGAGGGAAGCCGATAAAGTGACCGTTCCTCCATGGCCTACTCTCACTCACCTCAACAACTGGCGATCCGTATGCACGGCCAATGTTTTAGGAGCATCAGCCGACCCAAATCATGAGGACTGGATGTTATGGCTGGCACCAGCGTTCAACCCATTCCCTGATGTCGAAGCACTGAACGATTCAGGACACAAGAAGTTCAAGAGCGTAGACGTCAAATTGGGGATCGCCATGGTCGCAATGCTACGCGCTGGTGGTGACAAATCTGCTGATCTGTACCTGGAGGTGAACCGGAAGGCCAACGATTACATCAGCAGGCCCGAAGGGAAGATCATCAAAGGACGACAAATCATTGCGATGATGTATGAAAGTTTTCGAACGCACGATCGTCTCGACATGATCATCACTCTCGAGTATCTGGTGAAGCTCCAGTACCAAGGCGACAACAAACTTCATACGTTCAAGCAGACGTGGTTGGAAGTTCTGGGACGGATGAGGCCAGAAGACATACCATCCA